CAAAAGTTTCCAAAGTATGCCGAAATTGTAAATTTGACTTTACCTGATGGTTCTCGTCGCGCTGGTCAAGTTTTAGAAGTTCAAGGAAAGAGAGCTGTAGTACAAGTGAGTCATGAATAATCTTTAAAACCATAATATTGGTTTATTCTTAAACCTTTCGTATAATGTCTAATAGGTTTTTGAAGGGACATCTGGCGTTGATGCCAAAGCAACTCATGTAGAATTTACAGGTGATACTCTTAAAATTCCAGTCTCTGAAGATATGTTGGGTCGTATATTCAACGGATCTGGTAAAGCGATCGATAAAGGTCCAAAGGTGTTTGCCGAAGACTTTTTAGATATCAATGGTAAGGGTAAAACGTATCTTAATATTAGCTTGTTTATTTCTTATTTATTAAACATGTAATGTAATTTTTTAGGATCACCAATCAATCCGTTTTCACGTATTTATCCGGAAGAAATGATTCAAACTGGTATTTCAGCTATAGATACTATGAATTCAATTGCCCGTGGTCAAAAAATTCCAATTTTTTCTGCAGCTGGTTTACCACATAATGAAGTAAAGTGCTAAAATTCTTGAATATTTTAATTTTTTTAATAACTTTTTTAAAAATAAAGATGCTAATTGGGATCATCATTCTTTAGATTGCTGCTCAAATTTGTCGTCAAGCTGGTCTTGTCAAGAAAGTTGACAAGGGAGTTTTTGATGACCATGAGGATAATTTCTCAATTGTATTTGCGGCTATGGGTGTTAATATGGAAACAGCGCGTTTCTTCAAACAAGATTTTGAGGAAAATGGTTCTATCGAAAGAGTCACTCTGTTTTTAAATCTAGCTAATGATCCAACGTATGTTGTTTATTTAAATATTGATTGTTTTTTGAAACAAATTTTACTATACTTACATATAGTAATATATAACTTTAGCATCGAACGTATTGTTACACCACGATTAGCTCTTACAACTGCAGAATATTATGCTTATCAACTCGAAAAGCACGTTTTAGTTATTTTGACAGATATGAGTTCATATGCTGATGCTTTACGTGAGGTAAATAATTACTTTATTCAAACTTTGTTGTGGAGACTCTCATAATATTTATCATTTCATCTTTGTTCAGGTCTCTGCTGCGCGTGAAGAAGTACCAGGTCGTCGTGGTTATCCAGGTTATATGTACACCGATTTGTCTACAATTTATGAACGTGCAGGACGTGTCGAAGGAAGGAACGGCAGTATCACACAAATCCCCATTTTAACTATGCCAAATGATGGTAAGTTCGATTGTTTAATTTATACTAAATAATTCTATGAATATAACTTAATTTATGTTTTAACTCTTTTTTTTTTTTAATTTATTATAGATATTACTCATCCTATTCCGGATTTGACGGGTTATATTACAGAAGGTCAAATCTTCGTTGACCGTCAATTGCATAATCGTCAAATTTATCCACCTATTAATGTGTTGCCTTCACTCTCTCGATTGATGAAATCTGCTATTGGTGAAGGCATGACAAGGAAAGATCATGGTGATGTCTCAAATCAATTGGTAGGCGGATATTGCGAAATATATCTTTTGGTTTTATTGATTTATTAAAGATTTTTGCTTCATTAATTGAAATACTATAAATTGTATAGTATGCTAAATATGCTATTGGTCGTGATGCTGCTGCCATGAAAGCTGTCGTTGGTGAAGAAGCCTTGAATCAAGAAGATAAGCTTTCTCTCGAATTCTTAGAAAAGTTCGAAAAGACATACATTGCCCAAGGTAAAAAAAAATAATCAATTATTTATTTAATAATTATTCTTTTTTTTCCTTTTGCTAATTAACTCTTTATTATAGGTGCATATGAATCGAGAACAATTTATGAATCTTTAGATTACGCTTGGTCGATTCTTCGTATTTTCCCGAAGGAAATGTTAAATCGTATACCACAAAAAGTATTACAAGAATTTTACCAGCGTGCAAAGGCTTCTCATAAAAGCAAAGCTGTGGTCGATACTGTAGAAGCGTGATTTTAATCATTTTACGAATTTTGGAATTTAATTGTTATATTAATTAATTTAGTTGTATGACATATTTTATTATTTATTGAATTAATTATATTTATGTTAGGTTATTTTGTGTTGTTCATGTAATGGTTGCATAGATTATTTATTTATTATTTTTCAATGTTTTAATTGTTAAAAAATTTTAATTCCGAAGAATCAAGAAAATTTCGTTTGAATATTAATTTCCATATTTTGAACATATTTTATTAATAAAAAAAAAAAAAATAAATAAAGAAAAGTACAATTTAATAAATCATTTAATTTAAGTCTTTGATTGTTACATTTGCTTCCAAGTTTTTAAAACGTGATATTTTTTAATTGTTATTTATGTAATAGGTATTAGTATAATCCTTAATACAGTTAAACAGTTTACCTTCAAAAATGATTCCTAATTTATCATCGAATTTTTTAAATTGCTAAATTTTACGTACATTTCGTTCATTATTTTATTGATTATATTATTTTTTATAAAAAGAACTAGTTATTTTATATTAAACCTTACCTAGACCTAAAACTATACCTAAAATTATTTGTAATAAATAGGATTTTATATAATCATTTTAAAAATCTGATCTAATCTAAAATTAGATTAAATCAGATTCATCTGAATTAAAATTTAATCTAATTAAATTTAGATTAGATTCAGATTATATAAATAAATTAGTTTATTAAATATTTATATAAATTAAAAATAAAAACTAATTAAAGTTTTTAATAAGAATTTTTAAAATTAATTTATAATTAATTTATAAAAGTTATAAATATATAAAATTTAAAATTAAGTAAATTATATTTTAATAAACTATAGATTAATTTCTTAATATTTATTTTAATTATTTTAGTTTTATTATTTTAAGTTTAAAATATAAAAAATTCTTTTAAAAGCTTATTTTTTTTTTTTTATAATAAAATAATATTTAATATATTCATTTTATATTTATAAAAATTTTATTTTATTAAATAATAAACTTTGAATTTTTTATTTTTTATTTTAAAAAAAAAATTATAAACTTATTATAATATTATTAAATGTAAATTGATATTAATTTTAAATTATTAAATTTTAGATTTATTAATTAAATAAACTAAAAATTACGTACTATTATTAATTTAATTATAATTTTTATATATTTTAAATATTTATTTATTTTATAAATTTAAAAATATTTTATTTTGTTATTTATATTATTATTATATAGGGTGTTCAGAAATATGTGGTGCTAAATCTCAAAATATGTATGTGCTAATAAATAATATATGTGATAATATGTGTTCATAATTCTGGTAAAAATTATGTTAAATTTTTAAATTTTAAGTAAAATTATTAAAGTAAAAATGATTTGCAAAAACAAATCAATTTATTTATTTTTATTATAATATAAAAAATTAAGCATTGAAATAGATTTTTCAGAAAGACGCATACTTCTTTCACTTAAAATATTTTTATAATTAGAAAAACTGCGCTCTATATCTACTCCAGCTACTGGTAACCAAATATA